ACTTTTTCTCGACAAAGCATTCACTGATGAGTTTCTCTGTACCACAACCATTGGAGATACTTTGAGCATTCTTCATGCTACCTAGTTGATTTTTCTAAAAGAAATAATTCATTTGGCAAGCCAATATATGGCATGAATTCCTGGATTATTATTTCCATCACGGAGACAAATCAGGTCTCTCCTATCCCATCTCTGTTGGGGGTGGGGGGGTCGCTCTCAGTTCAAAACTGTCAGTGACCTTATTTGCAGTGAGATGGAGACATATATTCAGTTTGGTGGTATTCCTCCATGGGGCTTTGAGGTTGCATTTGAGGGCAATTCTCGACATTCTGGGGAGAATTTAGATTTACTTTTTTCTACTCCTTCCTTTATTCTGTTGGCTTCTCAGGAGGCCATTTTGGGATCAACTGCCTCAAGCCCCTATTCTTCATTTGTTTTGGGTCTTTCCCCAGTTGCTTTTGAGTCTGCACCTTTCTTGATGGTTGAAAGGTCTGGGAGCAGATACTTAGTTCTCCCTCCATCCACTGATATTATGGTTCATGCAGGGAGGTTTACTACTCACTTACATGAAGGGACAGCTATACCTTGTCTGCCATGGGTGTCAGAACTATGTGATTTAGCCTACCACCACCAGATGCACGCATATTCGTACTCTCAAATAATACACATGCTCCTGGAAATTTGGGGTTCTAGAACAAAGTCTGTAGTCAACCTGAATAGATCAAAACTTTCTAGGATTCGTCTCCCCCTATATATAGTGCTAAGATATTTATTATTCCTTCAACCTTTGTCAGAAGACTCTCAGGATCACCATATCAATATGATGACAAGTTGGGACCATTGATAGAATGCACATTGGTTCAATTGTCAGCTTCTGCATTCATCCCTGTTGTCATTAGTGTATCGGTTTTCCTCAGCTCCTACAGGGAATCATAGTTTCACCCCTATTTGAGGGTCCTGACCCCCATCATCAACCCCTCGGTCCATTGGATCCAATATTTTCTAGCCATGTGGAAAACCTTAACCACGGATCCATGGGCACTACAGATCCTTGAGTCAGGATTAGTCATGCAGTTCACATCTTCACCACCATTATCCACTTAACCTGTAGTGTTTCCGCCTCACCGCAGATACTAGGATTTTGGAACTTGATTCTAGGGCTATCAGAGTTTTGTTGGTCTAGGGGGCAATGGAGAGAGTTGTGTCAGTTCTTCCAGAGTTTTATTTCTGTCTGTTTGTTGTGCCCAAGAAGACAGGAGATTGGCATCCAGTCATCGATGTTTCTCGTCTATATCAATTCCTAGATTTCCTAAATCCTCCAATGTCGACAAGAGAATCATTCCACACTCTGCATTAGCATTTTTTTACAAGGATTGTGGATGTACAAGTTTGATGTTGCCGACTCCTATCTGCACATTTCCATAGTGGTAGCATCCTGCCACTATCTGCATTTTGTGCATAAGGGTCAGGTGCTGCAGTTCAGGGCTCTGCCCTTCAGACTAGCATTGGCACCATATGTGTTCTGCTGAATCATACAAGTTTTTTTTTATCAACACCTATTTTTCCCAGGCCTGTGCACACACCATTCCATGGACAACTTGTTACTCCTGGCACCATCTTGTCAATTGGCAGGCTTCAAATCAGAGTTGAGATATCTATTTTCACTCTAACACAATATATCATCAGTCTGTGTATCTTTTTCAACACTTATCTCTGTTGGGCTCAGCCGACTCCTGTCTAGCTCCAAGCTATGGAACAGGCAGTGTGACTCTTATTCATCTCTCCTTCTCCCACTGTGTGGATGGTTCTCTCTCTTTTCAGAATGTGGGCATCATTTTAATCGCTCATTCTTTTGGAATGAGTACACAAGAGATCCCTTCAGTGGTCTTTATGAAACCAATAGATCATGAACAGTGATTCACTAAATTCCACAGTTTCCGTATTCAAGATCATTATTTTCTATCTCAAGGGGTGATTAGATCAGAACAATACTATGATATGTGTTCCCCTGCCACCACCTCATCCAGAGATCCGTCATTTCATTGATGCCTCGCTTCAGAGATGGGGTGCATATTTCAACAGTCAGGAATTCCAAGATCTATGCACAGAAAACGAGACTTTTCTACACAATATTTTAGACATTCTTGCTGTTCAAAAGGTAATGTCTTATTATGAAAATCGTCAGGCTTCACTTTGACAGTTCCACGGATTGGCAGCTAAACTCTGGTTTCTGCTTCTGGGGTACCTTCAGGAGTGCCCACCTCTTCCACTTCCTCTTTGGCCATCTCTGTTGAAGCAGCCATGATATGACATTGTACACCCAGCCATCTTGAAGCTCAAGCTTCAGGCTGGAGGTTATGTGGTCTTATGCACAGCATCAAGGTTTAATTTCTAAGGTTGCCATGATGGATATTTATGAATGGAAATGGGACACATATCAGCAATGGCGTACTGTGAGGAGGTTGAACCCATTTTAATCAGAAGTGCCAACCATAACTCCATTTTTGACCTGGCTCTTTGACAAGAGTTTTGCATCTTCCACAATCGCCCTGTATGAGGCGGCCTTATTGACTACCTTTAGATGCTGGAGTCCCCAGTACTCTCAGGCCTCCTCATGTTGTTTTGGGTCCTTCATCCCAAACACCATTTCAGTTACCTAACTGATATATTAAGGTGGTATTACATGCGCTCTCACAATAGCAGTTTGAGACCTTAGCCTCATGTACCAAGTATCACCTTTCCCTGAAGGTTTAATTTTCGTTACTGCTGACCTACAGACCTTGCTGATCAGAGTTGTTTGCACTGGTTGTGCACAGAAGCGCTTTATCATTCTTACTGTGTCTACAGACAGGTTCTTCTTCTTTAAGACACTGGCAGCCAGGGAAGGGGATAAATCCTTTTCACCAATTCATATGACCACTATTTCTTACTTCTATGACCAATCAAATCTCAATCATTTGTTATGTCCAGTGATGGTCTTGAAGTGTTATGTTGCCCGCACTAATGCCTTTAGAGGTGGGTATGGAAATTGATCTGTATTTCTTATTCTGGGCTCTCTTTGGAGGTGAGGAGTCTTCTACAAGTCACGTCTCTTCAGATTCATCACATTTCTATGTCCTTAGTGGCTTGTTTGAATTGCCTGCTGGACGACATTGCATAGGCTGGTATGTGGACCTCCTCAAATAATTTTATCTCACATTATTTGGATGATCTGACAGTATCTTTCTTGAGGGTTTTGACTACTCCCAATAGCTATCTTAACCACATCCACTAGATTATAAGTAGGTGTCAGTATCTTCATTACTACTATTGTCTCTTCTTTATTTTCCAGGGTCCTTTACTTCTTTTCCACTGGATCCCACTCTGTGACAAGTGTTGCCCAGGCAGGTGTGCTTTTATCAAACCAATACCACACTAGCAACCACTAACACAATATACTTTATCTAGGTTGCAACAAGCTCTGTAGAAATGGGGTGTTCCATAAGACCACCTAAAGGCAGGTCAATTAGTGTTACTGTATTAAGCTAGACCACCACTCATAGATTATCATGAGTAAAGCATAAAGGGATCAGTTTGCTTTTAAAAATTTAGGGAACTTGGTTCACCTATTGCACTGTTTTCAGGGCATTGTTCCTCGGGGCTCCCCAATGTGCATTAACCCCTTTGTTTCATACTAGTGGAGCTAGGGAATCCTTACCATGCTTGGTTTCCAGTTGCTGGGGTGGTGGACAGAGGCTATTCAAGTGACTTTCCTCCCCTCTTCGAGAAGAGGGTGAAGTTGGGGGCCCTCCTACCCAAGTTTTTGGATGTTTTTCTCCAAATGTTGGAAGAAAAGGCACCAGCCTACAAGGGAGCCTACTCATAATACCGTTTCAAATTTGATGCTCCACTATCTGGTTGGGTTGAGTGTGGCCCTTCTTTTTGATCAATATCGGTTCAGTACATTGTTCATGGAAGAAGATCCATTGTTTCCTCATAATTCCTAGTTGTCCCATCTTGGGTTCTATGGTTGAGCACAGTTTGTTCCACATCCTCCCCATAGTTTTGGGGGCATGTGGAATTTACCTTGCCCATACAGTTGGGGAGTGGTTATAATTCCAGACTGATTGAGTTCTGTTTCCTCAGGTTGAGTATGGCATACAGGATCCCGTTTTGAAATTCTTCGGGTTGAGGAGAGGGTTTTTCCACTTCGGTGTTTCTTATCTTCTTGTGATTCGGGTGGCTCAGAATGGATCACTCTATGGCTACAGGTTGGGATCCACTCACAAATATATATATATATATATTGAGGTTCAAATGCCCAACTCACCAACATGGGACTTAGAAAACAATAGCCTTATAATTTCAACTCTGAGCAGTGACCCCTTGGCTATCTGATTAGGGCCTGGCCTACAGTGATGACGAATCATGTCAAGTTCCACCCGAATGGCATGATTTAGGTTCCGGGTGAAGAGCATACCTGTTCTGGATGTAGTGCAGTTCCCCCACGAGGGTGCTAAGCTTCTATTGGCACACCCACGATCTATGCAAATGTATTTTGTATGAATAACATCCTCACCAGCCCATCCACCTTATTAATGTGGTATTCTAGCTGTAGTGTGAGGTGAATGGAGGTAAGTATGTTTTGGAAGTTAACATTTTCTTATATTGAAAATGTATTTCCAATAATAATTACCTCCTCTCTCACTCTCCCAACCTTCCTCCCCACTAAGAGCTGGTGTTAGAGACTGCAGATTGGGTTAGTCTAAAAAAAAGTGATAATATTAATTGAATGAGGTGCTTATATATACAGTACCTGGATAGAGGGTGCATTGACATAAGTGGAAAGTGTCACATGACACATATCTCCAAGGGCAATTAAGTGGGAATAAAAGACAGGAGCAAGTGCAAAAAATTCAGACCAATGCTCAGATGGGCAAAGGAAGGAAACCCTAGCAGTCAAGTAATAGCTGTAGTGTGAGAGGAGGTAAGTATGATTGGAAATACATTTTTAACTTAAGAAGATGTTAACTTATAAAGTTGCACCTCTAAAATATATTTTTCTAGCTCTAGCATAGTGTGAAACATCTGACAAAGTGGAAGATACTCTTTATGTTTTGGATGTTAAAGTCTGACATACTACACCCTAAGATGTATATTTTATTTCAAATGTGAACAATTTAGATATCATTTTTATAACTAAGACTTTGTATGTTATAACCTAGTGAGCCTTGTGAGCTCTGTATTGAGTGAATTAAAGCTTTTGTTATTGCACATACAACATATAAGATATAGTTAATGTGCTATTATGTACACTCCTCTTACTGGAAAGTTGTATTGGGCTATTAAAGAATAAAGTGGTTTTATCATTCTCGTTATTAAATAGTTCAAATGCATGCTATTATGGAATGTCATTCTATGCCGTAACAGAAAGCAAAGTAATTTTTCACAGAACCATTCATTAGGTCTTAAGTTTTAACTCTCACTTAGGAACCTCATCACGGATTGTTGGAACACAAAGTGGAGTAATGCAACTTGATGGATCAGGTTCAAGTCAGGGTTGGATGTCTTTGGTTTATCAGTGGAGCTGCCACACTGATGACAAACAACCATGTTTTAATCATAAGGATATGTCCAGCAGCAGCCTGCTCATTCCTAGAAATAAACAGAAGCAGCCAATTCTTGAAATAAATTCGAAATTTTTAAAAGCTGGAGAGAAACTAAATTTTGGTCTTCAAGTGTTTAATGTATCCAATCATACACAGAACAGTGAAATTGCCATGGTTTCAGTGACTGTAGTTAAAGGAAATATCCCACAGGTGAGAATTTGAAACAAAAAGCAGTTTGTTCACACATGTGCAAAAATATTTTATGATACACTGTTAATAAAATAAAATATGAAGAGGTTGGGTCAAACCACACTTGTAAATTTCTCTCATTTTCTCCAACTAAGGGTATTAAACACAAAATAATTGTTAATTCATATTTGAATATATTCTTCTCTAATATTCTTTTGTTTTTTGTCATATTTATATTATGTAGCTAGCTTCAAATATTAAATTTTATTTTAATCTATATTTAACACCTCTTAAGTGTTGATGACAATCATTATAAAAACGTATATAGATTAGTAAATAAATAGCTTGTGTATGTCAAAATGCAAGATGAAACTAATTTTATTCTACTGATATCATCAGTATTTAATAAATTTTAGAATATATTTCAGAAGAAATATTTGGAGCTTTTTTATCTTCTAAAATGATATAACACTTAAGCAATAAGTTTAATATTAAATATTGTTGCTCCAGTGGCTAAGTGTGCTTAAAACAGATAAAGAAAAACTTAAATATAGTTATTGGTATTGTTAAAAAAGCATAAATTGCAAATAGAAAAAATATTATTACATTTATTTAATTTTTAAAACTTTTTGAAACCAGTAAGGAGGTTTTTACAAACATTATATATATATACACTTTAGATTTTGACATATTTTAAACCAGTATGATACTCCTTGAGTTTTATGTTGGTGTAAATTTTTTCAAGTAATGAACAGCTCAAATGTTCAATAAAATTAGGTTATAAGCAAGTATTATTCTGCTTTACTTATGAAAAAATAACAGTTAATGTTCAGAAACTTGTTCAGTTTCAAGTAAACCTGATGAACTGAATTTATCGGTGGTAGTTAGTAACATTTGATCTTGCTTTTAGCTGACTTTGAAAATATATGTATATATAAGGAAAGGTGTTACATGTGAGAAAGTTTGTAAAAAACATTCATCCATGCAAGCAGCCACTTTGACTTTCATAATCATCACAATTAAGTTGTAAAATGAAACATCTTTAAAGATCTAACCATAAAGTGAAGTTTAGAAGTTGCACTCAATATTCTATAGGTGGTCATTCAGTCAGTAACAGTTTATGGAAAACCTGTGATGCCGGACTCTAACCTTTTCAATGTTCCTGCTGGAGCTGCTGTGAAAGTAAAAGCCACAGTTACTTCATACACAATACCTATATTCATTGTTATTTGGAATATAACAGGTATATACATGTGTTTTTATTTGTTCATTATGTTGACAAATAAACATTTCTTCAAAATATGTATAACATGATTAAAAATGTTTTTGTTCCAAGCCCATTATGTCAATCCCTTGCTTGCCATATGCAAATACTTTGATATGTTTTTTGCAGTGAATCCAATTATATATAGTTTGTAGGATATAAATATATCCAATATAAAATTTGTGATGTTTCAACAAATTTTATAATTTTTTTGGTTCTTAAGGGTACAAAATGTCTGATCATGATAGGATTAACTAAGTTTTTATGCTGTAAGTGGCATTTTTGAAGATATGGATACTTTTCCCTCTTCTTTATAATAGCAAAGTGATTATGTGTTATATGTTACAAGTTTGTTCAAACCATTTTTCAAGTTTACTTTTGAAATCTTACTAGAGGGTATTATTATTTCATGATAAAGACAAAGTCAAAACAATGAATGTATTAGACAACAGGTAATTATAATGTTTTAATTTGCTGTATACACATGGTTCTTTAAAGTACAACTGTAAGGAAGTGAAAGGATTCTGCTCTGTACTTTTGTAGACTTTCTTCATTCCTATGGTTACAGTGGTGGACTCCGAGGAAGAGAGAAAGGAAGGACAAAACTTTTTATACCAGAAGGTACCTTTCTCATTTAAACTATCATCATGTTAACATATTGAGTAAGTGATGTGTAACATCTTGCTCAGAAAAAATAAGAAGTAAAATTAATTTTAATTTTACACAACTTTTCTTACAAAAATAAAATAAGTAATGTGTTTTGTTTTAAACACTATCCTCAACCAAACAAATCATTATTGAAGGCTACAACTTTTAGATGGCACTTCAAAATACCTGTTAAGTTCTTAATTTCTGACTTCCTACTCTTTTTTTTCAATCTGTATCAAACATTCATTAATATCATCACTGATAAAAATATAAATAGTCATAGTGTATTATATCTTATGATTAATAATTACTATGTACACCCTAAGGAAAAGTTTAGATAAAAGATAACAGAAAAAAATATTTTGTTTCTTACATTTATAAAAGCATATCCCATTCTTATAATACACAGTTTGCACATGATTGTAAAATAGTAATGTCTTTACTGTTATTTTAAATATGATATACAAGCAATAGTGGTAGATGAAAAATAGATCAGGTTTAATATAGTCAAATGGTTGGTACCATTGCTTTCAAAACAAAAAAACACATTTGAATGGAAAATTTATTATTTTGTCGTTCTCAGTTTTATGATTTTTAAATGTTATTATTTAATCATTATTCAAAATGTTTTTAAAATCTATTAAAATAGATGCAATGTCTGTTAATGTCTTGAAATAGTGGATAACAGTATTAATTTGTGTTAAAAAAATTTTATGCTATCTCCTAGGAACCCTGGTGGGGCATGGTTTCTATAAAGTTACTGTAACTGTATGTAATAAACATGGAGGATGTGGTATGAATAATCTGACATTGTATGCTACACCTTCTGTCTCTCTGTGTCAAGTTAAGGTCAAATCTTTCACAGCACTCAATAGGGTAACTTCTGTTTTTGTTATTTACTACTTTTAACCACATGCTTGAAGTTCATGCATAGTAAAATACATTTTCTTCAATCTTCAGATTATTAGTGTCTGTTCTGTTAATTTTGACTCCTATTAATGTTAAAAATTGTGTGTTGTAAATAGCAATACTATTTATAGAGTCACATCTTTTAATTCAATAACTTATTTTTAAAAGAACACTAGAATTTTGATTTGCGTACTTATTCATAAATCATATAGTAAATTGTATTGTTAAATCATAGCAAACATTGTTCACTTCAAAACTTTACTAAAATGAAAATAACTAAGAAATTAATTAATCAGACTTAAACATATTTCTTAAAGTTTTCTGTAATCATATTTTCTTCCTGTTTAAAAAAAAAGGCAGTTGGCTGGGTTTATGGATGTTCCATTCCTCTGGACAAAGCTCCTCTAACATACCAGCTGTATGTGAGGTCTCAACAAGGTTGGGTTCCTGTTACGCAGCCCCAGTACTCTAGTGTGTTTCAGTTTTTTGGACCACTTCTTCCTGAAAATGGTGTGTTAGTTTTTGGGGCTGAGGTAAGGATTCTCATCTTGTATGTTTCTGTGGATTGGTAAATTAAAATTTTCATCTTGTAAAAAAAAATGGTTTTTGAGTTCAAAAACAAAACACTAAAAACAGTAGTGTTTACACCTGTAATAATTAACTAATAAAGTTGTTCTATATCAGTCCTTCCATCATCACCACATGACTTGAATCATATTAACTGTAGGCCTATTTATTTCCATCTAAGTTAATAGGGATAATCAGTATCGAAAAAAGGATGAAATATTTATTTCTTATTGAAATGTTTTCATAATCACTGGTTAGAGTTATTGACTCCAATGAATAATCATTTAAGAATCTGTTAACTCTATAAAACTACAAATGTTCTTATCATTGTACTAATAAATCTATAAATGTTTTATGAGCTATTACATGTTACATTTTCTACAACTGTTTGCAGACAACCTGTATTTGCACATATATAAATGTATTTATTTGAAATAAGGAGCTGAAAATTGTTGTAATGTAAAAACTCACTTTCATTATGTTGTCAGTTAATTTCAGTTTCAACATGTACTTTACTCATGGGTTATCATGTGTTCAAATGAAATACAAGTACCGTAATAATTTAAAGGTTTTTGTAATATGTATTATTAATCTGTGTTACTAAAATTATATATGTTTTGTAGATATAACTTTCAGACTAAAGACTTAATGTCAACTGTTAACAGCTGTTTATCATTTCAAAGCACAGTCTCTTTATTAAGTCATTTAAAACTCAGTAGTCTTTATAATTCTTAGGTATGTGACAAATTTAATTATTGCTCTTGGTTCCATTCTGAGCCTGTTCAAGTCATGTATCCTACAAATATCACTCTCCAAAAGATGGTGCTATTGGCTCGTTCAAAAGAAACATATGATTCAGGTACAAAATAACAAGATTTGATGCTCAGTTTAATTTATTTATAAATGAGTGATATTTTTCTTAGCAGATTGAGAAAATATACTCGTAAATATTTTTTGAAATCTTTACTGAAAATAAAGATTGTTCTGAATAAAAATTTTGATTTTCATGAAAGGAAATAGTGAATTATCAGTTCTCATAACAATTAATAAGGAAACAAACACTTAGAGGCAATTAACTAGCTGTAATTTGTAGCTTTCTCCTGTATAATTGAAGCAGCAATTATAGTGGGTATTGTAAGTTAATTGACGTAATAATGTAGAACCAAATAAGAAAAATATTGAGAAATGATTTTTTTTTTCTAATTACAGTAAAACATTTTTGTGATAATTAAATATAAACTAATGCAAAGAATGGTTGAATTAGTTTCAGAAGACATCTGTTTATTAATGATATTCTTGGCAGACCTAGTGGTTTTGTACATATTGTGTTATATTTTTTGCAACCTTTTTTTTACCTGAATTCTGTTATTCATAAATGTTATTAAACTTAATAATCAGAAGGTGGTATACTTGATATATGTGAAATACTCTTATACTGTTTGCCTCACTTTATACATTTTAATTCTTAAATGTTAAAAATTTACTTATAAGTTATTTACAGTTTGCTTTTTAGCTGTAAACTAAAATAAAATGCCTAGATTCACTGAAATTACACATTTTAAGATTTAATAACTTAAAGAAAAATAAAGCACATTTTAGTCTAAAACTATCAAGTTTTATTCCATCTTACCAGCTATAATGTCAACCAAGATTCAAAATATTTCAACAAATATTGCCAAAACGATGACTGCTCAGCAAAAAGTACAATCTATTCTGTGGTATACAGAATTCAAATCTCTTTTTGTTGTGCACAAATTCCAACATATCTGTCATGCACATGCACCACTGGACAATGCAGTTAAGTAGCCACACAAGCAGTTCATACACAAACTCTGTGTGTGCATAGAGGAGCACTAGACAACCCAGTTTAAGTGAAGTCTTTTTTGCTTCAGTAACTGAGGCCTTTTTTATAAGCTGTTAAAATACATGAGTAAAGCTTCTGTTGAATTTGACATACCAGAAGCCACAGTATTTAAGATTTTAAAAACATTCTAGAACTTTCATGTGTACAAAACTAGGTGGAGCAACAACCACAAAAAGTGGACTATGAGGCTGGACTCTCTTTTGTTTGCCATATTTCTCAGCCAAATGGATCATGGTGAATTCCTTCCTCAACTGCTATATCATGTCCAATGAAATAAAAATCCATCTATGTGCAAAATTAATCAGAAATAACTGTTGAATTTGAGCAGATGAGACTCACCAAAAATCATTGTTTAGAATGCTGTTTTATGACAAAAAATATCTAAGGCCCCTTTTATTTTAATCAAGAGGAAAATAGTCACTGTAGTTATGTATTGACATGCTGAAGATTTTTGTTCGCAACATCTGGAAGCTGATGGTGTTTTTAGCATGTGTTTCTTCTAGTGGGGTACCTGTCTTTTTGTCATTTTGTGTTTGTGGGAAACGGTCAGTATCTTATTCAACCATCAGACTATTAGCTTGCATACTGCACTCTCCAAACATAATACCATTAGATTTTTGGATGAGAGGGATGTTTTAAGTGTACAGATTGCACCTCACATCCAGCTACATTTGTCAGTGTCAGGGGCATTTAAAAGAAACAGTTAATGCAATTTTCAAATACATACTTGTATTTATTTTTTTTTATGAATGGTATAGATGCTTGAAGAAATGCTTCAAGATGAAAGCTTATATATAGATGGTGTAAAACCTGAGGGTATAGAAACCAATTTGTACTTTATTTCATATGTCTATCTTTTTTCATGTAAAAGTTATTACATATTAAAATGTATACAACTATTTGCAGACATTCTGTGTTTACACATACAAACACACATGTGTGTATGCACAATTGTAAAATAAAGAATTGAATATTATTATAATGTAAAAAGTCACCTTCTTTATTGTCATATACTAGTTTATGTGAATATAAAAAGAAAGAATATTTTATTTGTAAGTAGAATCAGTTAATTTCAGCTTCAAATGAATGATTTTTCATTCATTATTATAGGAAATCCCATAGATGCCTTGTATCAGCTCTCGCTTGCCACATTTGCATTAGCAGAAAATGTCACAACCAAACAAGTTAAAACTCTAGTGAAGTATTCACTCTCAGCTCTCTCAGGCACTTTATCTACTGGCAATGTTCTTATTGTGTACAACAGTATGCTTCCTCTGTTAACCATTAATAATACTGCTGTAAGATTAGATGCTATGATGATTATAGAACGCATTACGAAGAAGTTGATGGTGAAAAAGGTAAGGATTGAATAGAATTAACCTTTTGTGTGTTGATTATAAGTTTATGTATTTATATGCAGGACCTTCAACTTACTAAAATTAAATGTTTACACCAGTTCAAATGATTTTTTAGTAAGTTAAACAAGTGGATGCCAAAACAAAAGTGCAAATGTCTCTATTATAGTACTACATGCTTTTTGTTGTTCAATAAGGATAAGATATTTCTGTAAAATCTCAATTGAACAGAATATTGGTGTGCTTGTTATTGTGCTAGGTGACCCACATTCTTCCCACAGTAAAGACCATGTTTACTAAAATTGTGGAGGTTTCCCTCGGTGACGTGAAATTGATGCAGCAGCTTACACAAACTTTAGGTGCTTTATTAAAGGTAGCAGCAGCTGTTTTGACTAGAGGTCAGACACTGGAGTTGAAAAGTGAGCATGATGGGTTTCCTAAAGCTGTGTTAGAACATAAAGTACTGGATTCAGTTCCTGTTATTGTCAAAGGAAAACATTCTAATGGTGAGCCAGTGGAAGCCATGGTGGAATTTTATAAACATGTAAGAAATAGGTATGTATTATATAGTAATATATTTTCTAATGCCAAGTAGGTTCAAAAACAACAGGTATGTTGTACAGACTAGGAATTTGGCTTTAACACTATATACATAGTTTTCTGTTGCACAAGTTTTATATAACAAAGAACAAACTACAATATGCAACTTTACTTCAGTTATTAGGTAAGTAACGTTCACAAGGAACATGAAATACAAAATAAGTGACTCCATCCTATTTTTTGTAATATTTTCAACTTATTCATAGTTAAAGTTCCTTTTCATTAGAGATATTTCTCTATGGATTCAGTGTTGTCAGGATGCATGGACTTGGTAACTTAGGGTTGTTATAAAAATATTTTTAAAAAGAGTGAAGTTTTATTTGTGTCTGAGAAATAGAGCAAAATTGTTTTATTGAAGTATTTGATTACAAGTTACTAATGTAATGATGAATCTTGGTTTATAGTAGAACAGTAATTGTGCTTAAAATATATCATAAAATCAATCTTTATGTGGATTGCATTTATTGGTAGATTCAGACACTGGCCATGCGGTGAGTGGACCTGTGATGGAGTGGTCATAACTATGATATTGTACCCTTCAGATAGTCCATATCCAGATGGTATCTATGCCACAAGACTTGCACCAGTGGTTAGTATTGAGATGAGGACACCTGGAACAGGTATATATATATATATATAACATTCATACAGTTGCTTATGCATAAAAGTAGAATCAGTTTCCCATTTCTTTGCAAACAGATTTAAAACTATGATAAAACTTTTCATAAAGAACAAATAAATAAATAACTCACAATTTGAAATATTATGGTATTTATTTTAGTAAATAACACTTAAAATTTTGACAAAACTGTTAATATTAATTTACTAAAACAATTTTACTAAGCATCATCAATTAAAAATAGTCATATAATTTTCAGCCAAAGAAAGAACTTACTGCTTAATATTTAGTTCTTATCTTACCATTGCTTGGTACAAATCTCTAAAGTCTTAACATAAAGTCTCCATAGCCAAAGAATATTTTTTTTCTTGAAAAAATTTTAAATTATCACTAGTATTTGTAATTATTAATTCATATATCCCAAAAAAGTTAGATCTTAAGGATGTTTAAATGTTAATTAGTTTGAATGTACATAACAAACTTCATGGATTTTAATAAATTTTAGAAACTTTGTTATTTCTTTCTAATGACTTGCATCTTGGAACTCTCAACAAACTTTGATTTTTTTCTGTGATCTTTTATACTCTGCAGGTACTGTTGTTCCTCTCAGTTACAATCAATTTGACACTGTTCTGATCAGTATGACAAAAACTCATAATGTGTCAACAAAAGGAAAGCTATCTGTTGATTGTCAGTTTTGGGATAGCTCAAAGAGGCAGTGGTCAAGAAAAGGTGTCATATCATTAGGATATAGTGATGGTCTTTTCTCCTGCTGGTCATCTCACTTATCAGCCTTCACCATGTTAGAAGTATCTAACAGTGAGTCTCTATAGCTGTAATAATAGTTGTAAACAATTTTGATTCTTCAATATAGAGATAACCAAGATAATTTTTCCATATGATTCCTTGAAATAACATTAATTTTATATACATTAGAATGGTTTCAATAAGTAATTATGATAAGATAAAATAACTACTTTAAAAATATCTTGAAGGTATTACAAATATAATATCTCAATTTATTAAAATGTTTAATATAATCTTTTTACTTAGTTACTTGTGTGTGTGTGTATACTTTATATTATATTATTTATTATTATTTTGTATTGTTTGCTTAGTATTGTTGCGACAGCAGAAGTCACAAGACACTGGAAGCATGCGCACTGGAGTTTCTGGAAGGATCATGAATTATCGGGGAGGCCCGAATTTGTTCGAGGCACCCTCTTTTTTAGTATATAAGCCTGGTGATAAAAACCAGCATAATTGCAGAGATAGACAGATAGATATAGAGACAGATAATTGCGTCAAGCACCCTCTTTTTTAGTATATAAGCCTGGCGAGAAAAACCAGCACAATTGCAGAGATAGATAGATAGATATAGAGACAGATAATTAAGTCAAGCGAATGGTAGTGACGGTAATATAAAGTGTGTATTTTGTTATCGAGATTGCAAATGTATTGACTGTGGAAATACTGTGAATTACAAAGTTGTATTGAGAAAGAATAAACTAGTTTTAATTAAGAAAATAATTTTGTTGCTGAAGTTCCTCTGAAAGAATTTATACCGGAAATTAACAAACGAGCAGATAGGCAACAAATTGGTGTCAGAGAGTGGGATGGAAAAAAAAAAGAAGATGGAAACCAGAAGTGGCAAATCAAACTACGACTTAGCAGATTTGATGGCAGCAATACAAGAACAGCAAAAGAAACAAGAAGAACGAGAAAAGAAACAAGAAGAGAGATTACAGCAGTTGTTGGAGGAAAAACAAAAGAAACAAGAAGAACGAGAAAACAAACAAGAAAAGAAACAAGAACAGAGATTAC